CCGCTTTCTCCCTGTAACCCTTGATCCCCTTGATAATCAAGAACCTATCTATCTCAGTTTTAAATGTACTCGATGACCTGGCCTCCACAGCCTTCTGTGGTAGTGCATCATCTGCAAACTTGGCAATAGCGCATTCACTTCCATCATCTATGCCATTAATGTATGTTTTAAATAATTGTAGTCCCAGCACTGGTCCCTGTGGTACACCACTAGTTTCGGGTTACCTTCGTTAAAAACACCCTCTTAATCCCAACTCTCAGTCATCTGTAAGTCAGCTAAAGTACTACAGGGTCCCTCAAATACCATGAGTTCTCATCTTATTAAGAAGCTTTACGTGCTAAATCAGTAGAGGTTTTTCCTGCCCTAGTATACAATTATGCACTAACCAAAAAGTTCATTTTTGTGGTAGATCAGTTGAGCAGAGCAGAACTGGAACATTAAAGTCATTTTTCACTGACAAACTGGAAAGTGTGGTTGGGATATAATTCAAAACAAAAGCTAAGGAACAAGACATTCTAAAAATAAAATTGAATAACAGTCTGGGTATTGATGAGAGAGATCCATAGGGACGTGTGGAATTGGATGCAGGCAAGGTAGCCCTGGCAAGGATTCAGCCCAAAAAGGGGAGATTAGAACTGAAATTCCAAACAACCAAAGAAGAGGGAGGAGAGAGATAAAGAAGGTGAAGAGAAAAGTAGTTCAGAGAAAAAAAAGACGAAAGGAGGGTAAAGTAGAAAAAGGAGGAGCAAATAAATAAGAGGCAATGGAATTTCAATCCAAAATATTAGTGCTATGAAGGGAGGTTGCCTCTGAACTCAGGGAAGGTACTGATAGGGAATGATACGGTCCCCAACTCAGAGTCAATTGAGCTGCTTAAATTTGCCAAAGGGATCCCAAAATTTGAAGAAAGTGAGGTAAATATTTTTCATTTCATTTGAAAGCATTGCAAAACAAATAAAATTGTCACAGAAAGCTGCACAACATTAACACAGACTATGCACCTGATGCTTATGCCTATCAACATTCTGGGGGTTACCAGTGACCAGAAGCAGAACTGGACTAGCCATATAAACATTGTGTCTACGTAAGCATGCCAGAGACTAGAATTCCTGCACCAAGTAACTCACCTCCTTATTGCCCAAAGTCTGTCCACCATCTATAAGGCATAAGCAAAGTGAAGAATAAATGTTTCAAAAGCTGGACAAGCAGCTGATGAGCTTGTCCACAAACCCTTATCTCAATGGAAACCCTTTTTCCATTACCCAACAAACCTGAGAAGGATAGTAACAGGGTGAAAGGGTGTAAAGAAGAAGGGTCCACTGCACGATGGGACAGCAGGGAATGCAAATGGGTGTCTCCTCAATCTAGAAAGGAAGTTGTTAGGAATAGGAGTGATGTACTTTGTCTGTTTGCTTTGGAAGTGGAATGATAAACCAGTGGCAATGGTACAAGTGAAGATTGTTCCTTCAGGACCCAGTAGAATGGGGAATACAGCCTGGGTTAGTCAGGGAGATTCTTCCAAGAATACTGCTAAAGTGAGCCAAGTTACTGGAGGTACAAGAGGTTTTGCCTCTAAGGTGGAAGTATTCACATACTTCTCCAATGAAACAAGTAAACAAATTAATATTTGGCAGACACTGTCATTGATGATGGCAGATGATTTAATTCATGTTTCAGCAGGTATAATGAAAGGAGCATTAATAGGGAATATTCATGGAATTTATGAATCTGTTCATTTGTACAAAGTGAAGTAAGCCTTGATAAGCTGAGTCAGTACCGTGGGAATTGTTCCTAGTGAAAGGGTATATTTTGTATTGAATAAAGATTTGGCCATCGGAGACACTAATATTTGTACTAGGATGGCACGGCAGCTCAGTGGTTAGCACTGCTGGCTCACAATGCCAGGGACCCAGGTGATTGCCTGTGTGGAGTTTGCACGTTCTCCCCATGTCTGTGTGGATTTACTCCCACACTCCAAAGATGTACAGGTTAGGTGGATTGGCCGTGCTAAATTGCCAAAAGTGTTCAGGAATGTGCAAGCTAGGTACATTAGCCATGGGAAATGCAGGGCTACAGGGGTAGGGTAGGAGGTGGGTCTGGGTGGCATGCTGTTTGGAGTGTCGATGTGGACTCAATGGGCCAAAAGGCCTGCTTCCACACTGCACAATGGATAACATGGCGGTGACTATGTTGCAACAGTTGCTTGATCATGTTCATCTTGCCAAACTCCCCAAAATTGTTGTGGGTAAACGCAAGAAAAATCAGCTAATGATGAGCAATTGAAAGAAAAACTGATCAATGTGGGGGATCAAATTTTGAGCACAAAAGATGAGTTTGCTAACTCTAAATGCGAACTGTTGAGAACATTTTAGCATCAGTCACAGGAATTAAAATATTTGTTGAGAACTTGAAATGTCTAAACCGAAAGCTGCAGAAGTAAATATAACAAAAATTGATCTTCAATTAGAAAACGATCAAATCCATGCATCTGAAGTCTCTATTAAATATCGTGGCAAAACATTTAGAATAGAGTCATAGGGTCATAGAGATATACAGCATGGAAACAGACCCTTCGGTCCAACTTGTCCATGCTGACCTGATATCCTAAATAAATCTTGTCCCATTTGCCAGCATTTGGCCCATATCCCTCTAAACTCTTCCCAGTCATATACCCATCCAGATGCCTTTTAAATGTTGTAATTGTACCCGCCTCTACCACTCCCTCTGGCTGCTCATTCCATACACACACCACCTTCTGCATGAAAAAGTTCACCCCTTAGGTCCCTTTTAAATCTTTGCCCGCTCACCTTAAACCTATGCCCTCTAGTTTTGGACTCCCCCACCGTGGGGAAAATACCTTGTCTATTTACCCTATCCATGACCCTCATGATTTTATAAACCTCTAAGGTCACCCCTCAGCCTCTAATGCTCCAGGGAAAATAGCCCCAGTCTATTCAGCCTCTCCCTATAGCTCAAACCCTCCAACTCTGGCAACATTCTTGAAAATCTTTTCTGAACCCTTTCAAGTTTCACAACGTCCTTTCTATAGCAGGGAGACCAGCATTGCATGCAGTATTCAAATAGTGGCCTAACTAATGTACTGTACAGTCAGAACATGACCTCCCAACTCCTATACTCAGTGCACTGACCAATAAAGGCAAGCATACCAAACACTTTCTTTACTATCATATCTACCCAAAACTCCACTTTCAAGGCAATGAACCTGCACTTCAAGGTCTCTTTGTTCAGCAACACTCCCCAGGTCCTTACCATTAAGTGTATAAGTCCTGCCCTGATTTGCCTTTCCAAGTGCAGCACCTCACATTTATCTAAATTAAACTCCATCTGTCACTCTTCTGCCATTGGCCCATCTGATCAAGATCCCATTGTACTCTGAGGTAACCTTCTTCGCTGTCCACTACACTTCCAATTTTGGTGTCATTTGCAAACTTACTAAACTCACCTCCTATGTAAAGAAATTAATAGTCAAGATGGACAATCCACTAGAACATTATCATGAAAAGAGCAATGAAATTTTAAACTCCAATGCAATCTTCAGGATAAGAAAGATAGCATGTGCAGTATGGGAGAGCAGATCCATATTTTAAAATCTGTTAAAAATAAATGTAAGGAACATATTAAAGGGCAATCAGTAACCATGGTGAAAAACATCTAAAATGAATGGAATGCTCATGGGAAATTGTCAAACATGTGCAAAAGTTCTATGGAAGATTCTGAAACAAAACCAAAGAAATCACCAGAACAGTTGCTAAGATGAATGAAGCAATCAACAAACATGAAAATTTATTGGTAAATAAAGAGAAACAAATATTTGGAAAAAATAGTAAAATATGGTGAAATAAGGGTTCTACTTTTGAAGCACTTTTGAAGTAAGAAAAAAAAATTAATGTGAGCAGAAGGCAGGTCTCTCACATAAACTAGGCCATGATTTGAAGAGAACAAAACTCCCTCAATGCAGGTTATTCATTTGGTGTGAATTAAAATAATGAAATGTCAAAATCTGTTATGATGGAAAAAAGTTTTGAAGCTGATTGCCAATCAGATGTAAATGCTTTTCGTAGCAAACCTAAAGGACCCATTGAAAGTATATTTGTAGAAGAAAAGAAATCCCCAAATGGATTGGAAGGAATAAAAACAGAAAATGCCAGAGAAACTCAGTAGGTTTGGCGGCATATGTGGAGAGAGAAAACAGCATTAATATTTCTCTGCTATGGAACTAAAGGGAGTTGGAAAGTAATTTTTTTTTTTACTTTTGACAAATTGGGAGGAACAGCAAGTGGATCAGATTGTAAGGGTCCCCAGAGAGAAAAAAAGATAATCTGTGAATTATTATTTCTCCTTAATGTGATTGTTACTTAGCCATAGTACTTTTAGGATTACACTCTGCAGGGTTTTATATTTTTGTCCCAGACTTGGTGGTTGTGTGTCTTATTTTTTAAAAAGAATAGTTGTATTTATTTGCACAGTTTAACCCCTTTGTTTTAACAAACTTGATTTCTTGAGTAAGTTTGTTTGCAATAAACTAGCCCTTTATTTGGCACTGAAGGAGCCCTGCTAGCTTGTTTCTGATACTGGGCTAGTCTGATTGGTAATATCATCTTTTTAAAATTCTAACTTGGATGTGACCAGTGGGGGAGTGTGGAAAAGAATCAGACCACCCCTCCCAACTTGATGGTAGCAAGAATCAAAGGAAGATTTGCATTTGTGTCTGTCAAGATTTGTTTAAGTGCCATTAATATACAGGTTTGTGGTAATGTTGTCAAAGGACAGCATGTATGTGGGAAGAGAAGTAGGCCAAGGTTTCAATACTTGGTGGACTCTCAAACTGGCTTGCAAGGGAAGGAGGAGATACCATTGCTACAGATGTTCAAGATATTTGCTGTTAATTAATAGCAAATGTTCATTAATTAGCAATTAATTGTTCTGTATCACATTCTGCACTAATATTGACCTTTCTTTACAATGTACTTTCGTTACAGCCATGGCCAAATGTTTCCAATCTTGCCAAGGACTTCATTGATAAACTAATCACAATAGACCCAAATGAGAGAATGGCAGCTGCGCAAGCTTTGAAACATCCATGGGTTGTGACAATGGCGGCTTCGTCCTCTATGAAGAACCTACATCGGTCAATCTCTCAGAATTTGATGCGGAGGACATCTTCCCACAGTCCAAGCTCTAAGTCAGCGCAGTCTACCAGGTCAAGCCGTTCCAGCAAGTCACGTCGTTTACATGAGAAGGAAATCCAGGAGTTTAACCTGTGGTACCAGCAACATATTGATTAGTAGTGATCAATGGGCTGTCAATCAAAGTTCTTACAGCTGTATAAACTGTTCTTCATACAAAACAAATGGTTGATCGGTTGACCATTTTAATGAGCCCAAATAAAGTTCGAACAATTCCTAGACATAGCCACAACACTGCAGTTAGACACACTGTTGAACAATTGTCATCTCAAAATAGTTTTGTCAGTATTTTAGCAACTCTGTTTAATCAGTGTCATCTTTAGGATTGACGTATGTGTTTCTGCCGTCTAATGTAAAGTTCAAAGCTTTTTTCATCTTTTCTGACTTCCGTTTAGCACTAAGAATTATTGGGTCTGATTTTATTGTAAGTATTTTTGTCAAATAAGAAACAGGAGAAGCAAGCCAGCTACCCCAGGAAGAAAGCAGATTGAGACCTGAATCATCCTGATGGTCAGTTTAATTTCCAGAGCTGTCTGAGCATTCCATAGAATGGGAAAACTGTTGACTTATCTTCTGAGCAGTTAGTTTAATGGAAGGAGAGCTAAAAAAGCATTAATGCCACTAAGACCTAACTCCTGGTTTTTGGAATAGCCTCATGGGGCCCCTTTAAGATCCTCGAGTTTTGCTGCTCCATGTTCCAAGCCACTAAACAGAGCATATGAAGCCTAAACTGCACCCAATGGTGCTTGAACGTGGCAGTCTTATTAACATCTTGGGGCCAGGTGTTGTATTTTCATATGATGTTCTCTAGTGTATTTGCTGAAGAGTTTTGGCCGCAGCTCCCAAATGAAATGGTAATATGACTAGGGATTTCTCCTTTTTAACTTTGGATGCATGACTATACCATTCCTCTCCAAAAACACGGACCAAAATCAGGACCAATATTCTTACAATGGTAGTATTCCAAAAACCTGATTTGCATAGTATTTCTTATTCATTAGCATAAAAATTCACAGTTTCTTTGTTCATAGCATGTTTCAGCTTTTTATATTAAATGTATTAGAAGTTCTGCGGGCAATAAAAATGATCCTTAATCTATAGAGTTAAATATTTGCACCAAATAGGGAAATATAACTTAAATATTTGACTAAGTGATAGAGACATGATCTTACATTTGTTGCAAATATTATTGCTTATTAATTATTAACATAATTAATTAAAATCTGGCCCAATTGAATTAAATTCCATAAATATGCCACTACTCAAAAGTAAAATCTTTTGAGTATATGAACTCTGAAGTGTCTCCGAGCAAGAAAGGTGGACGTGGAAGTTGTAGGCATTATCATTTTGAGATTTACATGCTGATTCAGTTCCGACACAATTAGATACCTAAATACCATTTTGCTAAATTGGAGGCTAGTCAGTCAATAATATCAAATGAGTCTGTCAAAGCTACATATATTTTAATCATAATGAAATATTGAACAAGATCTTTATGGGTTGTTTTAAAATGAAATAAAACACATCTTTGTAGTTGTTTTGTTGCATTGTTGGCAAATATTCCAAATTAAACAAAGACCACGATATTTCCCCTCCCAAGAAAAGTAGAAGAATATATACTCATGGAGTCAGTTAAATTATCCAACAGCTGACAAAATGTCAAAAGGGAGTTATAAGATGTGTAATATTGATGAGGAGACCTGTCCAACAGACCTGCCAAGACTGCAAAGTTATTTAAAACTCCATCCCTTTTAATCTTTGCAAAAAAGTTGGAGAATTAAAAGAAATATTCCTTTCTATTCCACTGTTTTTATGACCTAAGCCCAAGGATTTCTGTTATGGATTAATGCAGCATCACTGACCTGGGAACTTTACACGTTTCAGAATTCAATATCAAATCTAATAAGTTTAGAGCTTGAACACTTCCTTCTGTGTCTTTTACCCACCACCACACCCTAGGTTCTAACATGCCATGGATTGCTTTCAGCACAACCAATCCATTTTCATCCATTCATTGTCTCCATTATCACCCATCTAGCTTTTCTTCTTCTCTGGCTTCCTATAACAATCCCTTTGTCTGCCTAACTTTTTCCTCTCTATGTCTCTGTCTCTAGGCTCCATCTTCACCTGTCTGCTCACTCCTCCCTCTGCCCCCCAACCCCTGTCACCAGCATAAATAACACATTTTCCTGTTATCAATTCTGAAGAAGGGTCATTGGACTTGAAGCTTTAACTGTGTTTTCTCTACACATATACTGCCAGATCTGCAGATTTCTTCAGCAATGTCTGTTTTTGTTTCAGATTTCCACAGTTCTTTGTTTTATATCATATCCATTAACACAATGGGGAGCTTCCATTTGAAAACCTGCATGACAGCTACAAGTCCGTTTAGAAACTTTGAAGTAAAACTTCTTCATGTAGATTGGGAAAATCAAATTGGCAGACGTAACCACAAATAAGAATTCATAGGGTATATTTGGGACAGTTGTCTAAAACAATATGTTATAGGTGCAACCAGGGATCAGACTATTTTGGAACTGGTAATGTATAATGAGGCAGGTTTAATAAATGAGGATAATCACAGGAAGAAGACAGAGTTGGCTGCAGCGTTTTGAGAAATGTGTTTAGCAGCAAAATATAGTTGATGAACAATGGCAGACATTTAAGAAAATAGTTCATGAGTCACAACAAAAGTGTATTCCACTGAGAAAGAACAATTCTACAAAAGGGATAAATCAACTATGGTCAATCAAGGAAGTTAGGATAGCAACAAATTGAAAGAAAGAACATAATGATGCTGGAAAGGTTGACGGTAAACCTGAGTTTTAAGAAAGTTTTCAAAAATTAACCACAGATGACCAAAAAATAATAAAATGGGAGAAAATAAACTTAGAGAGTAAACTAACAAGTAATGTCAAAATGAACATTACAAGCTTTTGTAGATGTATTAAAAGGAAGAGAGAGGTTAAATTGAACATAGGCCATTAGAGGTTATAGGTTAACATTGACAGTGTGGGAAAGACAGAGATGGCTACAGAGCTTTAGGTGCCATGAGTTGGCATGGATGGGCCATGGGGATTTTCAAGAAGTGAGTGAAGGGTTAGGAGTTAGAGGGATGTTTTATGTTTTACTCTTTATTTTAGAAGAACTTTGGGCAATGCGCCAGAGCACCAAGGCAGGTTTTCTCCGCCATCCTACTTCTGCATTGAACATACTCCCTGGGCCTACCAGCCCAACTTCTAAGCCAGCCTTCAGCATTTCCCGACCTTGCATGGAAAACCACTGCTACAGGTTCTGTTCATACAGCCAGATTGTTCATTTCTCTACACAGCCAACCTGGGAATGAATACTGGGGTTATTGTGTTACCTCAACATTTGCCTGCATACAGGCCAAATATCTAGCCAGGCTGTTACAGTTTTAGCCTATTAACAAAACAGCTTATAACATTGAGACCAGAAACGGTTGCATTACCTTCTAATGTGTTACTGTGCTCCCGATCCAGTTTAACTGGTAAAGTTCCTGCGTGGGAGGGCCAGCAGCCTGCCTCAAGCTGGTTGGGCCCTCCTTATCATGCTAAGGATTGATGTTGCCATTGTAGATGCCACAGTGCAATTTTGATTCCAAACTTTAGAATACACCATAATGCCAAAGACAGTGGTAAACCCTGGAGGAATATAGTGAAATATATAGTTGGTCAATGTTGAATGATCTTTATAAACTGTGCATTAGGAGAAGCAGGAAAATTTGTCAGTCCTTATACTTTTGGAGGTCAGAAGTTTGTAACCCGCTTCTTACTCCATACATCCGATTCCCATTCAGAGCTAAACTATGCTGCTTATGTTTTAAAAATTCTTGTGTAATGAGGTGTGGCTATCTATGGTAAGAAATGCACAAAATAAATACAAGTTCAATATTTTTTCAGATTAAAATCTGAAAGAGTTCATCAATTTGATCAAACCTATATAAGTAAAATAAAATTTGGAGGCCATTAAACAAGATGCAAATTTGATCTAAGATAACAAGGTGTAGAGCTGGATGAACACAGCAGGCCAAGCAGCATCAGAGGAGCAGGAAAGCTGATGTTTCGGGCCTAGACCCTTCTTCAGAAAAAATTTTTTCTGAAGAAGGGTCTAGG